AATTGGCTTACTGAGGTGCAAGAAAAGAAGCAAATGAAGACACACCTAGAGCAAGTCACAGAGGAAACAGGTAAGAACTCACATTCAAGCCTACACCATGGTGATAATAGTGGCTGAAGAGCTGCATCCCAGTGCCTGAAGGCTATTAGGGTTTGGATGCAGTGGGTCAGACATAGTCACAATCCCAGCAAGATAGAGTGGGTTGGATTCAGAAGCCATCCAGTTCCAGGGAGATTTTAACTTTAGCTCAGGACAGGATTGCACTTCTTCATATGCAACTGGCTTATAATCTAGGCCTCCTACTTAATTCACAGCTTCTGCTCAAGAAGTAGGCTTTTTTACAACCTCATCCTGTGTGCCAGTTACAATCCCTCCTAGAGTGGGAAATTTCCATAGTCACTCATGCTTAGATTATTGCAACACATTCTTCATGGGGCTACCTCTGAAGTCCACTAAGAAGCTACAACAGGTCGAGAATGCAGCAGCTTGAGTAATTACAGGTGCATTATCAATTTGCCCATATAACGCAACTACTCTGAGAGTTGTGCTGTTTACTAGTTGACTTCTGGCTACAATTTATGATGCTGGTTGCCACTCTTAAAGTTCCTCATGGCTCAGGATCTGGGTATCTTCAGTACTGCCTACTGCCAAATGGAACTGCTCATTCAGTGAGAATAAGAAGAATGGATTGTGTCCATTTCTCTCAAGGAGCATCTTCAGCAGGAATCACAGAAGCAGGCCTTCTCACTGGCTGTCCCCTTCTGCAGAAGATCATTCCCCCAGAGCTTCTAATGGCTCCAATCCTACTGGAATTTAGGTAAGCCACAAAGTTCTGGCTCCAGCAGTCCATGGGAGCTGAGTTGCTGCAATGCTGTTCCTCTCATATTGAGGTCTCTGTTTGTTTAACATGGCTTATCTTCCCTGGTGCATAAGCATAAAGTTGGTGTTATTGTATTTTATATCATTGGGTTATCATAATTACTCTTATTACTTTAACTTGATTTACAACTGTATGTAGTTCAGAGGTGAAAACAATTAGAGTGGCATATAAGCACCAGTAAAACATATGAATAAAAATACATTTATATCAGCATTTCCCAAGCTGGTACTCTCCAGAACTTTTAAAAGCATACTTTTTGTTGCTTTCTTTTTTTAAGCAATTTGATGCAAAAATGGGAAAAACAAACTTGTGGTTGAAAAAAAAAATAGAAACCTAGTAAAATTAAAATAGCTAGAACTACTATGCGTATCTCATAAAGAGCAGCCTTCATAAGCAATATGGTCTTATTAGAAAAATATTAAAATGATAAAAGAGTGGTTATTTTCAAATAAAACTTGAATATGACCTAAGTGAAGATTAACATAAAACATGAGCTGAACACTCATTTTCCCCAGTTCATCAACTCTCTTGTTAGTGACTAAACAGAAAACTATTTGCAGAGAAATTCATAACATTCCTTTCAAGGAATGAAAATATACTTTGATGCAGCCCAGAGTGCTATCTCCCTCTAAAGATGAGCTACTCATATGTCATTCTTTCCCTGCTAATGGCTGCTTCCTCACTGCTGGTAAAATTCAAGCCGAAACAATCAAATCATGTTCAAAACAATGAAGAGAATAGGACTGAAATATATAAATCAGGTGCCTGCATCTGTATCTTTTTCAGAATATCGAATTAGCATGCCCTGGCATAATGCTTTTGGAAAATTGAGGAGAGAATTCTCAAAAAACGAGTTAAGCCATCTATAATACATGCACTGCCAATCTATGGACCAAGGTTGTATAACAACTTAAACAAAACCAGGGAAACCACATGATGTCTTAGAGTGTTGCCTGAATGCAGCCAATTATGATTTATTTGGTAAGCCATTTCTAAATAAATCGTAATTTAGTACAACGCATAAGCCTTGTTCCATGGACACTTCTTTTAACCTAGCCATTCTAATAAGGACAGTACTTAATAAGAATTCTGAAGTGTTCATACCTTTACTAATGTTGAGATACATCATTTAGCCTTTATAATGCTAGACACAATTCACTCTAGCAGAACCAACAGCACCACTAGCTGAACATCAGTTTTCTAAGATGGAACCCGTTCCAAGTTTACATTTTATTCACCCTTACTACTTCAACTACTGCAGCATTTCTGTCTCTTAAACTAAATCACTGCAGTATGTTTTGAAAATTTATTTGCATCCAATTGCTTAATTTAAGTTACATTTTTTAGGACACATAAATCTTCAAAGCAAAAACACTTGAAAACTGTCTACAAGTGGGCTTTTGGCCTGGACACAATCTATAGGCCTTTTCATATATTGAACATTTGCATGCAGGAACCATATCAAGTCATACATTTCAAAGAAAAATGTCCATATTTTTAGTTTGTAGTTTTAGCTTCACTTTGAAGTGTTGGCAAGTGAGATTCCATTCAAACTACACTCATTTGGTATTTAAGTTTTTGTGCTGTTTGAATAACCACAAATGAAGCAAGTATTATTCCCAGTGATATTTTATTGCAATATTAATAACTATTTGGCTTGAGAAAGTCTAGCAGTCATAACAGCTACTTTATTAAACTGAACTCATAATACATTTTTTTCAACTAACATACCAAATCAAAATATAATTAAACATTTTCAACAGGAGTAAAAGAGGAAATTGTGCAAATAATATCTAATTTAAAACCGTATCCTAACTTTCACTTTTTCACTATAAAAAAATTAACCTAAGGAATTACCATTCATCTTATGACACATTATATCACATTTTCCACAAGACATAAATGCTTGCAGTGATTGTATATTTCTTCTTAATGCTGATTTAAGCAACTCTTCGAGACTCAATTTTACCAAATGGAATCAAGTTTGTATTTGCCATAGGCCAGGCTGAATCTTTTGGTACTCAGCTACAACTGTACATTTATACTTAAGGGCAATCCAGTTTCAGCAAACAGCAGGTGACAGCAGTTTCGTTCAGGTAAAGTGATTTGTTGTTTGTGACACCATGGGCAAATTCAGTATTAACTGACAAAGAGCCACAGCAGTCAAGATTCAACTGGCTGTTTGGAATTTGACAAGTTTCTCCATGCCCTTATTATGGCTAAAAGACTTCTACTGCAGCACTGGAAAGATAAATGCATGGCCCCGTTTATTCAATGAATTGAAGACACGATCGTACTTGCCACTTATGAGTGGATTGCCTATAGATGTAGGCTTTGTATGGATAAGTACAGTGAAATATGGGACTCATTTATGCAAAATACAGTAGGTTGAAAAAAAAAGCATGACAGTTATATAAATGTATAATACGCATACACACACACACTTCCATAATGTCTGTATTAGAAAATGATATATAGAATTGTAAATGTTTATTGTTGTAATGATATATTATATTTATATACTTTTTCTGCTTTATTTTTTTCACTTATTTCTTTTTAAGCATTTGTTATGTATTTGTATTAATCAATGTATTTATTTTTGTGTTTTGTTCCTTTTTTCCCCCTTTTTCTCTAATTTTAAAAGCAGTGAATGAATGAATGAATGAATGAATGAAT